TCTCCAGCCACTCTGCCCCAAGCCTGGAGCGCTGATGGGGGCTGTTGAGGTCAAAGTGCAGAACCCAGCATTTCGCCTTGTTGAACCTCATACAATTGGTCCTGGCCCACTGACCTCTTCTGCCCAGATCAATAACCTTCACTCACCTGTGTAAAGTTGATCCGTTTGTCTCTGGAGATATAATCTGCATATTTGCACATAAAAACCCCGCAGTCGCTTCCATTACGTTGCTGAGGGATTTCCTAATGAATGCAAAGAGGGAGAATTTTCCTTTATCTTAAAAGAAAAGCAGTTTGGTGGTAGCACACGTTACCCCTACTGGCAATGCACTAACCAGGCACTCGTCAACCTACTGGCGTAAACCATTTACCACTCCAGCACACAAGGAAGAGCCCCAATTAACTGCACATCATCCCTCCCTTCTGCTTCCTTCCCTTGGACGTTACAATCCCAATTCTTGGAAGGCTGATCAGGGATAGCAGCCTTCTTCCCTGCAAGGTGTCTTGAGGTTTGCAGAGCGTCATGTTTCTTAAATCAAGTCTTTAGGTTCTGCTTTTCACTACTAACTTGGTGAAAAACAGAATTTCAACCCTTTGCTTTGTCATATGCCAGGATGTGTACTCCAAACAAGAAGCCTATGTTCTGTGACAACAGTTAAACAGGTTTTTAAACCTGACTTGTGAAATGGGGGAAAAGCCAGATTCACCTTAATGGGGCAGACTAATTGAAAAAAACCAACAAACCAACAAAGTATTCAGCCAGCAAGGAGAGGCACTGCTTAAAGATTTCATCCCATCATGGTTTCCTGGTCCACCTGCAGCCTGAGGGTGGTACCGTAAGAGCACAAGATGTTTATGGTCATTCTCTAAAAGCTTGAACTTATTAGAAAGTTACAGTTCACATTTCAAATCCAAGTAGTGCTCACGTACGTTTGACTTCATGCTGTGAAGAGTCCACTCAGACAAAGTCAGCTCCACATTTCTTTTTTCCTGACTTTCTTCTTGCAGGTATTGGCTGTTTAAAAGAGAACAAAACCCACTCTTCATCACTGTAATTTAGGTCAAAAAAAAAAAAGAGCTTCTGAAGGATCACAGGAAGGCAAATGGCAGGACAGTAGAATGTCAGAGGATACCTACAGCAGCTGATTTAAGACATTTGGAGGAAAAATCAAAACCTTTAATTTACAAACGCAGTGAGAGGCTGTAAGCTTATGGTTACAGCTCAGGAATGAGACCAACAATTCCGACAGAGACTTCCACAAAAGTGTAAGCTCATTGCTTAGGAGAGGTAAAAAAAAATAAATCCCAAATCACATGATACCAGAGGAGGAACAGGAAAACCAAGTGAGGAACAATAACAATAACGCCAAAATTCCACCGTTTGCCTTAATCCCAAATACTGGGTGCACTTCCAGAAGAACAAATACAAAAAGTTTTGGGGCTAAGAGCTCTGGCTGAGGAAGTTCCCAGGCCACCAGTTGCTGGAAGAATACTCTTGAGGAAAAAAAAATTATATGATGCAGACCTGTTCTTATACCCTTTTCTAGGAATCTGCTGTTAACTGTTCAGGAGAGCACTGGCCTAAAACAACACTTGGCTTGTCTCTGTGGGGCTGCTCTCCTGCTCTTGGTGTATGAAGCTGCTGGATTAAGGCTTTTCAATACTTCTGCATCAGTGGCAAAGACACCGAAGGATGGTGGCTTGCACAGCATGAAAAACTGACCCATTACATTTGAGATGTACACCATACCACCTGATACACCTGAAAAGTGTGCTACAAGATATCATCAAATGTTGTGAGTTGGGAGGGACCCACAAGGATCATGGAGTCCAACTCCTGTCCCTGCACAGGACAATCCCAACATTCACACCATGTCCCTGAGGGCCTTGGCCAAATGCTTCTGCAATCTTGTCAGGCTTGGTGCCATGAGCACCTCCCTGGGGAGCCTGTCCCAGTGCTCCACCACCCTCTGCCTCAAGAACCTTTTTCTCATGGCCAAGCTCCCCCTCCCCTGGCACATCTTCCTGCCATTTCCTCTGCTCCTGGCATTCATTGGTGGCCAGAGAGAAGAGATCAGCGCCTGCCCCTCCTCTTCCCCTTGTGAGGAGTCTCAGCCTCCTCGTACGGCTTTTCCTCTAAACCCTTCCCCAATTTTGTTGCCCTATATAACAGAATCATGGAATCACAGAATGGTTTGGGTTGAAGGGACCTTTCAAGGCCATCTAGTCCAACCCCCCTGCAGTGAGCAGGGACATCTTCAACCAGATCAGGTTGCTCAGAGCCCTGTCCAACCTGACCTTGAATGTTTCCAGAGATGGAAACTTCTCACTTCTCTAGGCAGCCTGGCGCAGTGTCTCACCACCCTCATTGTGAAAAATTTCTTTCTTCTATTTAGTCTGAATCTCTTCTCTTTTAGTTTAAAACCATCACCCCTTGTTCTGTCACTACAGGCCCTGCTAAAATGTTTGTCCCCAGATATAAACCATTGGTCTTTGCTTCTCCTCCTGCTCTGCACATGGCAGTCCTGCAGCAAGGGGGATATGTGCACTTAAACACTGCAGAGCCCCATGCATGCAGCCTGGGGTGCACGCGCTGAGGTTCAGATGCTGAAGTGATGTTTGAAAGATCTATTTAAGTTCCACGTTGAAAAGTTGTGGCAGCTGAGCCCCCAGCACTGCTCCAGTGTGCACAGCGGCTGAACAGCCCCAAAACACCTCACCAAGAGGATAGGACAAGAGAGGGGGGTTCAGGGGAGGTTCAGATTGGATATTAGGAAAAATTTACTCATGGGAAGGGTTGTCAAGCATTGGAACAGGCTGCCCAGGGAAGTGGTGGAGGAGTCACCTTCTCTGGAGGTATTTAAAAGCCACGTAGATGTGGTGCTTAGGGACATGGTTTAGCAGTGGACTTGGCAGTGTGAGGTTTACAGTTGGACTGAATGATCTTCAAGGTCTTTTCCAACCAAAATGATTCTATGATTCTATTCTAAGACATCTGTCTTGAATAAGAATGTCAGAAATACAAATAACACACAGTAAGGACATGAAGGAAGCCTGCTGGGGTAAGCTGGAGGGAAATATAGTAGCTTCATTTAAAACACTGAACAGAATAGACAAGGTACAGACAAACTGAGAAGGAACATGTTACAGAGCTCACTACAGCAGAAAAGATGAATATTACAACTGTCTCTCTACAACTGGGAGAAACAGTCTCAACACAAGGAAGGAGCTCAGCAGTAAAGAGTGAAAGTGTACATATAGGTGATCACAAGTAGGAGTGTATATACCCTAGGACACCAATGAGTTGCAATCTCAAAGTTCTTAAAGAAAGAGAGTTAAAAAGCTCTTGGAAGACTGTAATCCTTTCACAGTCAGGTTATGTGGTATTTTGAAACACTTCCCTGAAATTCTTCCCTCTCATCAATAGCCCAGTTGTACTGATTACTAACAAAGTCAGTATAGGTGTGCCACAGGGCTGTCATGTATTTGACAGTGACACTTTGTCTGTGTCTACAGTGGAAAGCTGGCAGAATCCAGGCATGCAAGACCCTGGGTGGAAGGGACCATGTGAGATTAGATAAGTAGCCAGCATCACACAACTCGCAGCAAGAGATTCAAAGATTTCTGTTTCGTATCTACAAATGTGAAAACTTACAGTCGTACCACTGGGACAAAATCCAAAAATCACCTCGTAACTCACAACATGAAAACATTGACTGAGAAGATACTTACAACAAAGCTTCACAAATCTTGTCCCCTTTTTGTGCCATTGAGTCAAAGTATTTGATAGTCTTCTTTCTGACATCTATGACCTGTTATAGAAAGGTGACCGTTAGACATAGCACAAACCCTGTGCTGCACACCCAAAAAAACCTAAGTGACTTTTCTTGCTCATTTTTTCTCCCCACCTAATTCTAAATTAAAAGTGACTCACCACTAGGGCCCAGTGCACTCTCAAGTGAATGGGCACTAAGATGATGTCCTTCTTGAAGAGATCCACATCTTTGGTCCATCTTCTTACTGCTCTGTAGCCCTCAGAAATCAGTTTGGGATAAAAGAAAGTACTAAAAGCATGGACTGATGGATATCCTTCCTTCTTACTTCTTTCCATGAGAAGACACATGTAGAAATTAATGACCTGTACCATAAAAAGTAAACTCGAGATGTAAAATAAGACATTAATTTACCAAATGAAAAATACAGCAACATGTCTTTGTTGGTCACCCTGAAGTACACAGCTGAGAGAACTCCAGCCTCAGCTGTCAGCTTTTGTTCTGAGTATTTTGCACTCCCTTACTTTTGCAGTTTGATAAAAACACCTGCCACCCACTCCAATAACCTAGACTAACTCCTGGAAGCTGCATAATACAAGAAGAAAAGGAACTTCCAGAAAAACTAGACCCTTAAGTACCTAAAATAAGAATCATACAGATATTTCCAGGCTCTGTAGTGGAGGTCATCAAGTGGAGGTCATCAACTTTGAAAAGACTTCTGTACACAGTGAAGGCGGATTTTTAAATAAATGCCAAATTAGACTATCACTGTGCTGCAGTTGGTTTTACCTCATCATTTAGCCAGCAAAGGTTCCTTAATGTGTGGATGTCCTCACGAGTGACTTTTAGTTTGAAGGCACTGCTCATGATCTCTTCTGGCTCACCATCGCTAAATGCAGCAATGATGTCTTTCTCCATGGCCTGAAACAATTAAATGAGGAAGAATTTGTGAAACAGGAGTGAGTATGATAACCTGTGGGCAGCTTTCAACTGAAACAATGCCTGTAAATTAAGCTCCAATGACAGAGCAACTGACTTTGCCAGTTTTTTCTCTAAGTTACCAACAGCACTTTTTTGTTGCTTTGTTTGTTTCATCATCCTAACTTTGAACTTCGAGAGCCCAAGTTTGCTTCAGTTTCTTTTCAAAAAGGAAGCTGATATTAAACATGTGGACTAGCAAACACACTAAAGCACCTGAAAAATGAACAGAAGTAGAGCAAACACCGTTCCTACATGATGCTGCAGCCCTCACAACACTGAGGTTTAAGCCAACCACACAGGCTTTCTCCATACCAAGGCAGCTAAGTCAGGAGCCTGAAAGAATTTGAAGGTGAGTAACTTAAGAGGAGCATCTGGGGGAACTGGGGTTGTTGATCCTGGAGAAAAGGAGGCTGAGGGGAGAACTTCTGGCTCTCTCCAGCTCCCTGAAAGGAGGGTGCAGAGAGGTGGGGGTGGGTCTGTTCAACCAAGGAACAAGTGACAGGACAAGAGGAAATGGCCTCAAGTTGCACCAAGGGCAGTTGAAATTGGATGTGAGGAAGAATTTCTTTGCAGAAAGGGTTCTGAGGCATTGGAAGGGGTTGGCCAGGGCAGTGGTGGAGTCCCCATCCCTGGAGGGATTGAAGACTCATGTAGACATAGCGCTGAGGGACATGGGTTAGATGGGGACTTGTCAGTGTTGGGTTAATGATTGGACTCGATGATCCTAAAGGGCTTTTCCAACCACTACAATTCTATGGTTCTATGACTTCAAAGGGAACTGAAGTAACAGCAAAGGGGGAAACTGAGGCAGCTGCACTGGCATCAGGCAACCAGGAGTCCAGGTTGCGCAGGCAACTGGTTGCTATGTGGATGTTTCCATCTAAGTCTGCTTAAGGAACGCAAATAAACCACTACGTCTATTAGTATAAAATACTCTGATCAGCAATAGCATCGCCTCCTTGGTTGAATCCAGGCTAGCAAAAGCAGAAAAACACCTGGTTTGCCCTGTACTGAGCATCACTCTGCAGACTTTGTAAACTCTGGATTTGCTAACCCTTTCCAAGTCAATCCTCAGTGGGCAAAAAAGGAAATGCTCAATTAGATCAGCACGACTGCAACTCCGAAGAATAAAAGCAGCCAAAATTTATAGGAGTAGGGGAACCTGAACTGCCACTCCCTGTTGAATAGCGTAACTAACTCTGGTGACCACTGTCACATGCAGAGCAGCGATGCCCCGTGCATGTACATGACTCCATGAGATCCTGAGGACATACACAAGATGCTCAGGTCCCCCCACAAGCAATGTAACACCCTGGACCAGCAAAAGCTTGTTTCTCAGGTTCTGTCAGCATGTAGGACAGGTTAAGACAAATGAATCAGGTTAGCACTACTCTGGGAGTTAAACCTGAACTAATTTTTGTCCTGGTAGGAGAAGCCTCAGAAACCCTCAGGTTAGCACAACTGAATGAGTATCTGGAACATGTTAAATCCTTAAAACCAGCTTTATCGCTGACCCTTGCACTGCGAATTCACAGCTGCAGACATTTGGTAACAGGTTAAATGCAAGTTCGTAAGATTTCAAAAAGCCTCATGAACGACCTGTAATAAATGGAGTTCCTTGCAGTTGTCTTCTGCTTTGTCTAACAGACTGTCAGCTACATACCTCTGTGAGCAGAGAAGAGTATTCTATTGTTTTTTCAGAGCTTGGCAATTTATTTTCTTCCACACCAAGGGCAGAAGATTTTCTGGATGGGACATGCGCCATATTTAAGTGGACTAACTTCTCTTTTGAGAGTTTAGATCCATGCTGTTTCTGTCAGACAAAAGACATTAAGCTAGCAAGCAAGCATAGATTTGTTTGCTAAAGCAGAAAATCTTGCTCATGTATAAAAACTGGAAGGGTTTTTGTACACACATCCAACCAGCAAACTCCAAAGTTACATTTTATTGATGAATGCATTCCAACTGTGCACCCATGTAATGCTGCACTCAAAACTAAATGGAGGCAAGAGAGGCTGAAAGTTAGTTTGGCTTGGACTAGCATTAAGAACTCCAGCAAAGCCTCCACATGTAGCTATCAAGTTGAGATTGAGATGAATATTTCTGATTTTCATGACTAAAATTTTTTTTTTTAATCTCAATCCTGATCAGAGATGAAAGTCAAAGAGATGTACTTCCTATCTCACAAAACCAGACAAGACTAAAAATACTACAGTCTAGCTTTGCAGGTCAACTAAGTCCATGCACTAAAGATTTTGAAGCTACATGCAGCACATTAAAGGGGAAGATAGTATAGTGTAGTGTGCTTGTAATAGTCCAGAAATATTATTAATAGCAGCAGGAAACCCTTTATGATAGTGCTACTCATCACATTGTGCTCCTGCTTTCCCTCAGAAAAACAACTGGGACAAATACATTACTTACTCAACTATGTAAGTGAAGAGTGCAAAAATTTCTGATCACAAATAGCTATATTTTCCTAGAAAGTGAAATAATGAAGAACACAAGCTTACCTCTGCAATGGCTTGTTTCACTGGTCTCCCCTGTTCATAAGATTTTTCTGCTGGTGTGTAGCACCTGCGAGAAGAGGGAGAGAGAAAGAGAGGGAGAGGTGAGCTGGATATCCCTACTGTCCCATGTAATTCTCAAGAAATCACCTTCTGGATAAGAAATGCTTTTTCAAGGATGATTCTGACTAGAGCATCAGTTGCCCACATGAACACGTGACATCATCTCAGCTTCCAGCATGATTCTTTTGTAGTAGCAAGACTGGGATGGAATGAAGAGCTGGGAGCTTTGCAAACTTTTTCCCATTGACATGTGCAAGTCTCCTTTTGTTTCTCTTCATCAGTTTCATTATTTGGAAAACAGGGAAGCAACCAGGACTTCCTCTATCATAGAACCACAGAATGTTGTGAGTTGGAAGGGACCCACAAGGATCATCAAGTCCAACTCCTGTCCCTGCACAGGACAATCCCAACATTCACACCATGTGTCTGAGGGCCTTGGCCAAATGCTTCTGCAATCTTGTCAGGCTTGGTGCCATGACCACCTCCCTGGGGAGACTGTCCCAGTTCTCCACCACCCTCTGCCTCAAGAACCTTTTCCTCATGGCCAACCTCAGCCTCCCCTGGCACATCTTCCTGCCATTTCCTCTGCTCCTGGTGTTGGTGGCCAGAGAGAAGAGATCAGCACCTGCCCCTCCTCTTCCCCTTGTGAGGAAGTTCTAGACTGTGATGAGATCTCCTCTCAGTCTCCTCTTTTCCAGGCTAAACAAACCAAGCGACTTCAGCCTCTCCTCGTACAGCTTCCCCTCTAAACCCTTCCCCAATCTTGTGGCCCTCCAAGTGCTTTGTAATCTACTGGTGATAAATACTGCATGCTAGGCGTTATACTGCAAGGTATAAAATGAACATCCGCAACTATACTTGCATCCAAATATAGTTAGCTTCCGGAAACCAAGACCAGCACATGGAATTCAAAACAGGACAGGTAAAGGCTAGGCTAGTCAAAAGAGTGACTATCCCCATTTGGAGAGGATTATCATTAAAACCACACAGACTCTGAAGAGCAAACAAACACACAGACATTAAAGTTGTGCATCTATATGTCCCTTCTGCAAAAACAAGCATGTCATTGTCACCAAAGATTCCTGTTTTTCAGAAGGAAGACTTACAACAGACTCTCATGGTATCCTACACTCATTGTGCTTTAAAGGCTTTTTGTCCAGCATGGTAAGAGTAGATATCACAAGCCCTGTCAAATGATTTAAATTAGTAGCTAAATGTGAAAAAAAAAACAAAACAGAAAAAAAAAAGACAAGAAAAAGGTCCTTTTGCTTGAACCTATCACACTCTATCAGGTATTTTATTCCCTCCCCTCAAGCTCAAGGGAACCAGTGACAATTCAAGCACAGGAACAGTGCTGCACAGCTAAATATAGTGCAAGCGTTTAAACCAAGGGGAAGAATAGGGACAGAATTAGCTAAAAAAAACCCCCAACCAACAAAAAACCAGGAATCACAACTGAATCACTTTGCTCCCATCTACACTTTCACCCCAACCATTTAAGGGTAGAAAGATGGGTGTACCAGACTGCCATACAAAATCTCTCCCTGTAGCTGCACTTACTGCAACCAAAACCTCATTTCACAGAACCCCGGAATTGCCTGGATTGGAAAAGCCCTTTAAGATCATCCAGTCCAATCATTAACCCAACACTGACAAGTCCCCAACTAACCCATGTCCCTCAGCACTATGTCTACACGACTCTTCAATCCCTCCGGGGATGGGTACTCCACCACTGCCCTGGGCATCCCCTGCCAATGCCTCAGAACCCTTTCTGCAAAGAAATTCTTCCTCACATCCAATCTCAACTGCCCTTGGTGCAACTTGAGGCCATTTCCTCTTGTCCTGTCACTTGGTCCTTGGTTGAACAGACCCACCCCCACCTCTCTGCACCCTCCTTTCAGGGAGCTGGAGAGAGCCAGAAGGTCTCCCCTCAGCCTCCTCTTCTCCAGGATCAACAACCCCAGTTCCCTCAGCCGTGAACTCATCACACTTGTGCTCCAGACCCTTCCCCAGCTCCGTTGCCCTTCTCTGGACACGCTCCAGCACCTCCATGTCCTTCTTGGAGTGAGGGGCCCAACACTGAACCCAGCACTTGAGGTGTGGCCTCACCAGTGCCCAGGACAGGGGGAAGAGAACTTCCCTGGTCCAATCTACAATATAAAGTCATCTGAAATCATAGTCCTGCCAGCTCAGACAGCCAATACACATAGGTCCACTGGCCTCTCAAACGGGCAGACAACCCAACTGCATGCTTCCTTTTTGGTCTCATTTTCAAACCCAAGGCATCCTTTCAGTCAGAAAAACTGCCTTGTTCTCACCAGGCTTTACAAGCTCTCCAATCCTTGTGCTTGGGATCCTAGTTTCAATGTGAAAGAAATGAAATGTTAGCTCCTTAACAGTTTGTCAGAAAGACACTCACAAAACAAAAAACGGATTCTGCAAATCCAAGGACAACTTGGTACGGCCACCACTCTCACCCTCACCGGCCTTCTTCCCACAGCAAAGGACCCAGTAAACACCACACCAGCTCAACCCAGCTTGCCACACAGCACGGCTCCAGCACAGGAGCTGTGTTTGAGATGCAACCAGCTTGCGAGCAATTCCAGAGCCACAAGCTAGCTGCTCCTCTTCCACAGCACTGAGATGATAAATATGATTTGTCATCAACTGGACACGACTGGAGGCTGAAAGAGACATACATGCAGAGCCAAAAGAAACAAGAATCATGATTAACAGAGACTCTACCTGATCTTATCACTTTTTGGAGACCACTGCAGGCTGCAAACATCCGCACGTTTGATATCTACAAAGAAAAACAATAATACGAAAACAAGAAGTCAGCTCTCTATCACCATCAGATGTATGTAGCTCTTGGTTTCTGGGTGATAATACAAGAAAACTTTTAATGATGACTGTATGGTTAGGAAGTTTGAACTCTGGCAAACAGTTTGAACTTTGAATACCCTGTGCAAGTGTATGAGAGCTGAAGCAGAGCATTTATTAAGTTTTAAATTCCAGATTGCACACAATTAAACGAGTGATTTTTGCAAAACCAGATGCTCCTCCAAGCTCAGAAGAATAACTTATCTTCCACAACAAAACAAGGTTTCCTCAAATTCTAGCACCTACAGAGAACTAAATTCAAAACTCAAATGATTGCATAATAAAGTCACAGATATGTAAAAAGAAGTGTCAGTGAAAAAATATTTAAGTAATGAACAGGGGAAAAAAAAAAGACTGAGACAATGATAATGTATACACACAAGCACATTATTATAACACACTGCTGGTACAAAAGAAAATAGCTTGTCAGGAAACCACTTTAACTAGCCCACTCTGCAGAAGACAACTAAGGGCATCTTCAGGAGTTATGTATGTTCTTTCAACTCGCTAAAGAAGATCTACAAAAGAAGCTAACTTGATGTGAATAGTGGTACTGTGCAATTAGCTTGCTTGGTGTCAAAGCTCTGCTATCATAGACACAGTCACGTTTAACATTAAAAAGGGATTAAAGAGTAACACACAACCCCAACCTGAGTTAAGTAACAGGCATCAGAGGGTGCACAGTAACGTATCACCCTCCAGAAGTCCAAACAGCCAGATACTACAAAGTTCTCCTGTATAGCACAGAGTTATGTCCGCAGCTACAAACATCACCGGTACAGAAATGTCTCTCAAGTACAATTTTAAACAAACATTTTCACTTCAACAAAAACCTTAAAGTCATTTTAGCCAATAACTACTTATGGTTTTAACCATAAACCCCCTTTCTTTCCAGAGACAGCTCATTTCATTCTAAGAGCTGACATAAGCTATATGAGCATAAACACATTGGTTGATTTAATTTCCTTATAAACAGACAACAGATTAGTGACACACTAGCACTGACAAATCTTTTTTAGCATAATCTATACCTTTGAGACTCAAGGAAATGCCCTATTCTGATTTAAAATCTACCTACAAAGTGGAACAGATATGAATCATGGGGATACTCACTGGTCCTTAGTGTCATACTTGGATGGACATCTTGTCCATATTTTTGTTCTTCCAGGTGACTCACAGTCTTCACTGGTTCCTTCACTTGAACGCTTTGGTGCAGGAAAAAACAAGAGAAGAATCAAAATTTTTATACGTCTGGTATTCGTTATCAGTGCATACCAATTCATTAGAAAGGATACAACTTATTTGTACACAACTATCTACATTAGAGTTGGAAGCCACAGTTAAAGCAATAGAAATATGTAAAGTAAAATCAGGCTGTTGAATCCCTTGACAGAAACATCCCATCTCCTGCACTGGTTTTATGACAAAATGCAAAGGGTGTTTCCATGAGGAGGCAGTTTGCACTCAGGAGCTTGGCTACTTTCAACTTGGGCATACTGAAGACACAGGAGTCAAATTTTCAGTCTCCAGAATTTCACAAGAGACTAATCAACCACAAAATTTGATTCCTTCACCTTTTCACCAGACAATCAGTGGGTTTTTTTGTGTTTTCTTTAAAAAAGAGATTAGACGTCGAAAGCAGAGTCCTGACTTGCCCTAAAATGCTATTGTCAGTGCACCTAAAATTACATGAGATACTGTTTTCCATATCATTTTCATGCACCAGACTGTTTAAACATGATATGGTCTTTGGAAGTCCTGTGTTTACATGTTTTCTAGCTGTGAACCACTGAGCGGAGATTGGAATTTTTCAAAGCCTTGGTAACAATCCATATTTCACAGCATTTAAAGGAAACTGCAAGAAAGCATGGCATTTTCTACCACCTTACTGCACAGAAAGACCTGCTGGAACTTCAGCACCATCCTGGCATCACTGTTTTACAGGAATGAGGTCCCTTCTGCACAGCTTTGAAGTGTAACTATTCCACTAAGACAACGGCTTCTATTATTTTTTGTGGTTTTTACTTGAGGTGTTAGCTTTGTGCAATCTCTTGACACAGTTATAAGATACCAAATATACTCATCACTGGTAATATATGAAACAGAATTACACACAAGTGTACTGCAAAGAGAAAACTTCCTATAATTTTTGAGAGAAGGGCTGGGGAAGGTGGAAAGGAACAGAGAAAATTCTGGCATTCCCTGTGTTTACCTGAAGTTTCTCATTCTCAGATAAAACAGGATTCCTGATCAAAGAAAAACTCATCAATTACAAACAAGAGCAAGATAAATTCTTTTTAACGGTGCTACAGAATAACCAGTGTTCCGGATTTTTATATAAGAAGTTACACTGCCACCACTAGAACTAGATACTACTTTTCTTAACGCAGAGACAAGAAAGGATTTTAGGAAAGAGAAACACATCCATATCAACAAATGAATCTTCTCCCTTAGACTATATACATTCAGAGAATATTCATGCTTCATTGCAAGCAGCTGAAGGGAGGTGATGGTCTTTTAAAAACTATTTTGCTCTGGACACTGTCCAGATCCCTGAGAGTAGGAAAGATTAATTCCCCTCCACTTCTATGTACAATAGCTACAAAGTTACCACCAAAATTTTAATGGTTATTTTGTCCCATAATTACTTGTGGAAGCTTGTCGCTGGTGGGTTAGGACGGCTTCTAGGATATTTTTCCTTTACCAGTTCCAGAAGCTGTTTGTATTTTATCTTTTCTTCTCGTTGAACATCCTAGCAGAATGGAGGGAAAAACCAAATGGATTAGAACCAATGTTTGTAATCTGGATATAGTGCAGACTGCACAGGCTGTTCCCAAAATACTGGCACATTATTTCAGTTTACTTTAGCAGGAATTCCCACACCTTCATTTTGTGTTAGCCCTGCCTTAGGAACTTGCATCCCTCTATAAACTGCAAAATTCCTTCTGCAACTGTTCCCTCAAATGGGGATCTCTTCTCTTCAGCTGTGGTGTGTACCTCTTGCGTAATAATTCAGGCTCATATGCATTCCTGTCAATATACATAACGATTGGGTTCTATGAGTCCCCAGGGTATCTCAATCACACTCCACAGCTTGCCATGGCCTGCTTCTCCAGTACTTGGGTGTAAGTTCTTCTCCCATGTAAGCTACGTTTACCAGGTATTTTCCAATAGTTGCTTCAGATATTGGAAAGAAAAGACAGGGAAAGACCTCTCAGATAGTCCCATAAGGAAGGATTATCAGCATCTGAGTGGTTTTTTGCCTAAATTATCCTTATAAAGTTGCTATGTAAAGATTCCAGTGGAGACAGGTTAAGAACAAAATAGCGAAACTCTGCAACAAATATCCACCCAGTGACATGGCAGTACACCTCCAAGTGAAACTGGCTGGAGGGTCCTTCCCTCGCACACCATTTCCATGAAAATGGTTTAAAATCCAGTCTTTTGGCAACAAAGTAGTCCTCTGTTCCAAGACTTGAAGCATGTAAAGGCAAATAAAATGCTATACACTGATTTTCCAGAAGCATTCCTTCAACTTCATTAACTACACCCACTGTGTTGTTACAAACTGCCACTTCAGCATCTACATACAGCTTCGTTATAACTGCTAAGTTGTTTCATTTCAAAGACACCTTTCTCCCCCAGCGTACCTCTTCAGCTGTACAGAAAAGCCTCCCCGTTTTGCCGACTTCTGAAGTAACGGATTCTGGCACAGCGCGCTCCTTAATGGGTGGCCTCACTGTTAGGATGCTGCCTGAAGTAGGTTTGATGTGTTGTTTGCCCTTCCTGCTTGAGCTACAAACATCCACGGCACAAGAAACAGTATCAAGAGAACATTCAAACATGCACCTCCTCATTCAAGCTCCACCACTAACTTTTGTACACTGATGACGATGATGCTGGATGTTGTCACAAGCATTCCTGGTCTCAGCCTCTTCTCAAGTTTAGCATTTCCTCCTACCACAGACCTTTAATTTTTATCTAATCTCTTGTGTCTATGAAGTACTTGGATTTAAAGAAAAAGTTTAAAGTTGGCTGGAGGAAAAATTAAAAAAAAGCAGTTGGAGACCTCCCAAAAATAGCATTGTGGAGGAGTTCCAGAATACCTTAGAAAAATATTATTGTGTGGACACAGATACAAATGTTGGGCAACAAAGACGAAGTTCCAAGAACGAAAGACAGCAAACCTTTAAGAGAAGAGGTCAAAGAAAATGGAAGGATTTTTACCTCAGACATGGAAATGTCTTGTGAGAAAAGGGTATTGTTTCCTTTTTCAAGCAAGTACTGGTTCCACAAGGCATTTTATCTACGAGAGAAGAGCATAAGCCATCAGTAACTATAAAAGGAAACTGAAGAGTTTTATGAGTTTACAGTAAAGAGCTTCACCAAACATAAATTATTTCCATTTTCTCTCTTATGTCATAATATTATTTGTGTTATGTTACTTTAGGATATTTTCAGATTTTCATATTGGCAACTGCAGAAAGCTGTGCACACAAAGTATTGCCAGCCTAAAGCCAAAATAAAAAAGAGTTATTGGGAACTACTACCTCAAATTAGCATTTAAAACAATTGACTTCTGGCAAGCTAAGAGTGGATGTACCACAACAGAAGGACTGCATCCAAGGCAGCTCTTGTACTGAGATGACAAGATAAATGCCGGGCCCCAATCCAGAAGTAATGCAAGGATGCAGGGAAGAAACAGAATTCGTAGTCAAGTATTCCTAGATGCTACCTAGATATTGTGCCTTCAACAACCTGTACGTAAGCCTAGGGGTGGAGTTCACAGTACACAAAGCAAGGTCAAAAAGAAACAAGTTCATAACTTGACGTCAGCCTTACCAATTTGTAGCATTTCTCCTCCTAGTGTAGAATTTGTTGGTCTTTTTGATGAAGGGCCAGAATAAATGGACTGAGTCTTAAACAAAAACAAAAAAGTACCAAAGTGAGTATAACCTGAATGTGAATCCAAGCAAACTTCCTGAAATTTAGTCAGCTCTATCATGACTTGGGAACCATGATTTGCTGGCTCAGATTGCAGCAGAATGCAAATCTTTACAGGATCTCTGACAAGAAGACTTTAGTTTTTTAATACAGCTCTCATTCATGCAGCAACTAAAACAATGCAAGTTTATCACTGAGTTCTCCTCAGTCAGCTCCTAAATATTCCCAAGCGTGACAGTTTAGCCCTTGAAAAATATATTTTGCACAAATAAGAGTTAATGACACTCTTGGGAATGAATAATTAGAGCATGACAGTTTCTCATTCCTCTTATCTTATGGGGCAGTAAGAAAAATAACACTACACCTTTGAACCAAACTAGGAAGTCAAGCAGCTCATGACTCATTTTGACAAAGTCCTACAGGAATCCTCTCCTGGATAATGAATGTAGCAGAAGGAGGTTTATCCAGAGGAAGTATGCAGTTTTTCTTTTACTGTAATGTATTTTGACTCCTTAACTACAAGCTTGAGAAAAAGAGCAACAGTTTACAAACAGACTAAAACTATAAACTCAAACAATTGTAAAGTTTCTGCAAGACAAAATGTTTTGCTCCTTCCTCAGCTGCACGTTCTAGAGCAGAGTAGGCAAACTTGCATAAGGCAAACCTGCCTCCTATAAATGGGCAAGAACCACCTAGTGCTGTACAGGCTCAGAGCAGGCTCAATTTCAAGATGCTAATTAGGGAAAGCCACTTCCTTTTTCATCTTGCACAGCTTCTACCTGCTTTCAAAATCCTTGCTCACCTTTTCTGCAGACTCTGTGATTGAAGCGGCATTGCTGACTGAAGCCTCGTGGCGTTTACTTGTTGCCTTTGCTGGCAACTTCACCACAGCAGAAACTTCTTCAGCTTTCTCTTTACCCTCAGAGATAGTGTAACCTAAAAAAAAACCCAAGACAGGCCATATAAGAACATGATTTTTAAAAGAATTAGGATTGCTATTTGCACTAATGCCCATCTCCTTGATCCCACCTAAAGCACTGTAACTCATTTCAAGTTATACACCCTTCTGCCAAAAGCAGTTGGTGGTGATTTTGGTATTAGCTGGCACACCGAGCACTCCTTCAGAGCCAGAGCTAAAAACACCCTGCTTTTGGGAACATTCCCTGTTTCTGGAGAAGCACTACAGGGTGCAATTTATCCTCCTCACATGCACATACTCTTGTAGTTTATTATGTGTCACTCTAGTTGAGAAAAGCTCTTCACTGAGGTCTAGAAACCAAAGCTACCCAAGCCTGTTCTTTCCAGTATTAAAGCAGCAGAAATGTGCAAGACAGTATTTCTAAACACTGACAAGCCAGGGCTGTCTAAAAATGGGCTGTGTTAGACATTAAATCATTTTAGACAACAGCATTTGTTTGAAGAGAATGACATTTTAGCAGACAAGAATATAGATGGTACCATGTTCTTAGAAGCAGATTTGGCCTACTAGATGTGGGAATTGTTCCTACCAAGAGTTGCTAATGTTGCTAAAAGGAGGAGGCATAGGGGAGCAAGGTATCAATTTGACATATTTTTCAGTTGTTTTATGCTCTTAAGCCTGAAAAGCATGCTAGCAGTTCCACAGCCACTACCATTAAATAAGGGGCAGCATTGTTCATCAAGCAGTAACTATGAAGCTCCAGGTCTCCCTGGAGAACTTGTGCTAGGAAATGTACAGCCTAAAGAGCATCATTTCTCCCTCTTTATGAGTAAAATGGAAAAGAGGAAATGTCCATCTCAAATCATGACCAATGCTGCTGGTAGCCAGAGGCACCAACATGGCTCCAGGCAGCTGCATAATTTTACCCTTAAACACTTTGTGGAGGGGGTACTGGAGAAGGCCTCACTGAAGAGAGCACTTCTCTACCCCGCTGTTCTGCTACGCCTAGCCTCTGCTGCATCTCCATCCTGCTTTACTCACCCTTCCTCTATCTTTTAAAAATGCACATGTCAGAATTTCCAGATTCAGACTAAAGTGACTCTTCTGTTTTCAATTCAGGTTTTTTAATGCCCCCACCAAACTCACTAGCTCACAGAAACACCATTTTCCTCTGCCGGCCATCAGTTTAAAATTACCTTCCTTCACACCCGAGATTCTGAGCCATTTCTCCCAAGACATACAGGTAGTTTGAACTGCCAGAGGGGCACTTTGAACACAGACTGGAGGGAACACACAGCTTTGATTTAAAATACTCTTTCTGCTGACATGCGTGGGCTCACTGCCAGAGATACCTGGGATATCTCCGGCTGGCAGTCAAAGTATTGAGCTCCGCCACAGTCAACACAGATAACACAATTATAGATACACCCTTAAGCCACTGGCTACACAGGTGGCCACAAGAAAAGAACGGCTTGAAAAGTCACAGTTTCAGTAACAAAGCTGAAGTAAAAAAGCCAGAGTTTTCTAATGGACATGAAACCTAATAAAAATCAGGCATGTTAAATACTCCTGTAATGTGCAATACCTGATTTGCGCTTTTTTGCTCTAGTCTGGTCAGGATCTTCCACAGGTGGCTGAAGGCTGAGGAAAGAACACACAGAACAGTGTTTTGCAGTCAGGGTAAAGCTTCTAACAGGCTGACTTCCCTTCACAGGGCCCAAATTTCCCAAGTTAGTTTTCATACCCCAAAGGTCTCCCCCTCCAAGTGCCCCTGGGATCACCTCAAGACACACACACCCCGGACTGCCACTGCTGAGCATCTCTCACCAACACCCCCCATCTCTCCCAGAAAACTAATTATCCCACTAAAGCACATTAAGCCTCTTTTTCTCACTCCGTTAATATCTCCTAATGTTTTATGTTTGCTCCTATCACCAAAAAACTGTTAGTTAATTTGCAAAGCTTGCCTCTTTCCTTGAGGAAAGTGGCATACCAGAGATTATGAAGCCATCTAAGTGTGTAAGTCACAACGCTGAGTTGCAAAGAAAAGTCAAAGTAGGACAGGAAATAAAAGGTGGGAAAGCAAGCCCAGCATACACCCACTTAAATAGCTTACTGCTAAATCAGTGCTCGTGAGCTAGTTCTAGAAATAATTCTTAGCTGCACCCTCTCTTACGAAGCCTAAGTGCAATATTATATTGGTTGATAACGGTGATAAAATCTAGTACCATTTTTCATTTTGGGAACAGAGTGCAAAGGTTATTCCTGAGTGGTTTTGATTTGGGGGTTTTGTTTTTTTGGTTTTTTACTATTTGCCTCCAAAAATTACATGCCAGACAGCAAGGATTCTTTGAAGAATTCTTTGATTCTTCTTACACAAAAGAATTTCTTTTAAACTGTTATGCTCCCAAACCTTGCTGGTATACTATCTTCTGGACTGTCTTCTGCCTGCATCAGGAGCACAAAAAAACCCTGATATCCTCAAAGGCACCTTTCATACAATATAAAGAATATTTGTTATTACTATGCTATTAAGTCAGGCAGAAAACATTGTGGGGTAGATGTTAAAGGCAAACACATTCCTATAAAAACACATTCTTCCTCAGCATATTTGATATTTCAGAAAGTAAAACTGAAGAAGACAAAATATCTGTTTCCTTCTGCTCAATTTTTAGCAAGAGCTAACTAGTTCTGAGCTGCTCTTCAGTGAAAACTTCCCAGCATCAGTCCTCTGCAGTTCAACCTCAACCACAATTCAACCTCCTCAAGGCTATGTTCTGAGATAAGCACAGTTTAAATACTTGACTGAGGTTACAACAACTGTTTTTGAACAGAAGTGCCTCTTTTTTCAGGTTTAGCAGAGCACCCAACACCTATGAGAGTGTTGTTTTGCACCTTTTTACCAATCACTTGGAAGTTTAGAATTAAGTTTTATTACAAGAAAAGATGAATGCTCTCTTGGTAATTCAGAAATAAATTGGGAGATCTTTGATCTTTCCCTGCATGGCCAGGGAACACGGATAGGCGAAAGGCAAGGAAAAAAAACCCCATATCTGTGCTTAGCTGCCTCTGTCTCTGAGGGGAATACGCAACCCTGCGAGAAGGTTAAACTGTGTCATTGCAACTGGGCTTTTGCCAAGGGCCTGGGGGAAACAGGTAAGTGCACAGGGTATTGAGTGATATTTGAAACACGCTGAAAAAATGGGCCAGAAAATATAAGCAATTTGAGACTGCTCTCCACGTAAAGGTGCATTCACATCCTTGTCCATGCTCTAGAGAAGACAGCACTGATTTATGCCCAGCATTTTACTTGCCTTCTTAGCAATGACAGGAAAAAAATAAGGTATTAGGAAAACTCATAACTCTGCAGACACCCATGTACCCTCTGGCCCTCTTCTTTTCAAAAGTTGTTCCCTCACCAGCACTGAGGACAGTTCACTAAGATTTCTAATTTAAATTTGTAAAAAACCTCAAGTTTTCACAGGTTAAGGCCCCCCCCATTCACTCTGGAACATGAGAAACTAAGCAGAGCCTCCTGCAGAGATAGTTTCTTCCAGAGGGAGCAACCATACTCTCCAAAACATGGCATGTAATTTTTATGTTCCCTCTCTTCAGACAGACAGAAGTGACAGGCATGGAGATGGCTTATCCATCTGTCACTGGGAGCTCTGGGGCACCAGGAATGTTTAATGCCTAGGAAGGCATTCCCCTTTTCTTCCACTCCACATACATACCACATCCCCATGCCATTATTTTCCTCCATCCAATATATCCCTATATGTATATACACTGTACTCTGCTCCTTCAACACACAATACTCCAAATTTCCACCCCTTTTCTTCTTTCCAAACCCCCACTGTGCAGATGGAAAGCGAATGAGGAGATGGGTTTGCCAATGGACTTATTGGGAACATCTGGAACCCACAATTATCTCAGCATCACGGGTGAACGACAGGGACCGTGAGCAGTGACCTGACACAGCGTGAGCCACAGAGGCCAACAGCCGGGCGAGGAGGGCTGCAGCCTCCTCTGCTTTCCCCGCTCTCGTGCTCCAGCGGGAGAGGGCGGTGGATGGCAGGGAGCTCCGGGGAACCCAGCGCCCCGGAGGAGGGG